CTCTCTGTTGCGACCGCACACGATAGCTGCGGATAATGATCTGCCGTTGTCCGAGGCGTGTTATTACCTGAGCGGGTTCATCAGCTTCTCGGTCACGTAATCGTCGCAGAAGGAATTCTCGAAGGATAAGTAGAAAAAGTAGTTGGGCTCGACGACGTCGCGAAAGCAGTCCCAGGTCTTGTGGCAGCTGTACGCGCCGCATTTGCCGTAGATGTCGACGCCTATGTGCTTCGACAGCTCCTCCACGTATTCCAGCCGGCCACTTTTGGCCTGGCAATTGCTTACAAACCAAGTTACCAGCTTGCTCTTACCCCTGACGACGTCCAATATCGCAGACGGCACCTCCTCTACCGCTTCCTCCACACCTGCGAAAACTGATTAGTTCTCGCGCGCTCGGCAGGCTGCTTATACATATGAAAAAGTGTACACCGTTTCGGCGAACTCGTCATCGGCATATTCGCGAACGCGTTGCAAATTTTGGCTTAATTAATTAATCGACTATTTACTTGCGCCAATTGAACGGACTATACGCGAAGCACGATGAAGAGAATGCACGGACTGAAGGTGAGGATTTTCAGCCGCGGGTGTTCTAGTTTTCACTGGTGATTAAAATTTACCATTACGCCGAGAAATATTGACGCTTAATTTGGAGGAATATTTTCTATCCGCACAAAAATCAAACTATTAAGGTTGGCCCAAATTAGATTTTTAAGAACCAGAAATTCTGTTTCTTTCAACCACACGGCGTTTAATTATGTTATTGTCACGTTAATCCAACCTATTTTTTTTCTCCGACTATTGATTGCAAAACGACGAGTAGGGAAAAAATGTACGTCGTATTCTCTAAATTCCTTGAAGTGAAATTTCTACTCGTGGAGAAGTTGAGTGACCACAAAATTCTTCGAATTCGAGTGATTTTTTTAGGTTAAATTAGTCACACTGAACAACTAAAAAGTGAATTTTTCACTTGAAATTGAAGTTGAGTACTTTCCAAATTTCCTGGAATGAAATTTCACTCGAACAGTGACCACAAAGTCATTCAAATTCGAGTGATTTTTTTCACTCTATAGAGGGAATTCTCTACTCTCTGAATCCTCGAGTGAGTACTTTCCACTGAAATTGTAGAATGAATTTGATGCACTCCACATTCACAGAGACATATTCGCTCTAATCAATTGAAACATTCGGTCATACGGATTTAAAATCCACCCCAAGCTTGAGTGAAACACCTACGATTTCAAGTGACGGTATTTTCATTACTAGTTCGAGAGACTATCATTTTTCATTCGTTTTAAGTGTGATTTTACTCCAAGAAACTTGAAAAGTACTTTTCAAATTCTAATTTTCTGGAATGAAATTACACTCGAAAAGTAAAGTGTCCACAGAGCCACTCGAATTTGAATGATCCTTTTCACTCAATAGAGTGTATTTTTCTCTCTGAATCATTGAGTGAATACTTCCCCTTTAAATTGAAGAGGGATGTACTCCATATTCACATGTTTACTCTAATCTAATCTAATCTAATCGATTGAAACATTTGCTTATGTGGGGTCAGAATCTATTTCAGGCTTCGCACACAGTGAAACAGCAGTCTTGGGGTTTCAGATGACAGCGCACTTTCATCAATACTAGAGACACTGCTACTTGTCGTTTGTTTTAAGCGCGAATCCACTTCAAGAAATTTAGAGAATACGAAATAAGGACTACCCTACCGTTTTTATAGGCGCTCCAGTCGGGGTCCTGGGCGGGCGCGACGAAGTTGCCGGTTTTCGCGTCCGCTATGATCCCGTAAGGCCACAGTATGTCACTGTCGAGCCGATACGTCATCGTGAGATTGAAGTAGTCCTCGTAGTACTCATAAGGTATCGCCCTGTTGGCTGGGCTCTCCAGGTTAACGTACACGTAGAACTGTCTCGTCCTGCGCCTCAGCGGCACCCCATACTCGGTCAGCTCATTGCCGTGGAAGAGAATCGCGTCGTAGTCCTCCACGTTCAGGTGGCCGCGATCGTTGAAGATCTTGCACCTGTCGATGGGGCACTCGTGGAAGATATCGCCCTCGCCGAAGTAGAAGTTCCGATCGCCGAACAGCGTGTTCCACAGGAGAATGCTCTTCACGCCCGTCCTCCTCAACTCCTTCGCCCGGTCGACTTTCTCGTCGTCGGTGCGGTTGTCGGTTAGGTTGGCGGCGTCGAGCGCGGGATCATCATCCGCTTCGTGGATCATGTACGTCTTGTGGTACGTGTTCTGAATCCTCGCTCCGTCGTAGAAGACCGAGAGGTAGACGCACAACGTCGCGATCGATAGCGCGATCAGGCCGACGAAGTACAATTTTTTGCGCATTGTGTCGTCTCGCCGCTGCTCCTCCTCGTGGACGCTCTGTCCGCATTTCTTGCAGCACTTAATTGCCGATATCATTGTAAATCATTGTAAATGAGTAGGTCAGGGGCAACGATCTGACGCATCATCGTCGCGCGTCGTCCGACACGGTGTATATGCGATTACGTGATCGGATTCGTTGCTACGAGCACTCGACCAGTCCTCCCATTCATTACGACGGAGGTGTATAACCCGCTATATAGAGGAAGGAAAAGAGAGAAAAAAAGGAGAGAAAGAGGGAGAGAAATCTCAACGTAATTTATCGGATCTCGTTTGCACGAATGGCGTTCGGTAGATTTCGACTATCGGTTATCGGCATAACAAATACACTTTTCGCGAATGTCTCTCCGAGCGCTGCTCGTATAATGAGGCTACTCACGGAGAGAAAAGCCCGTTTGGATCACGGAGGAGAGAATTGCGCTCTGTATAGAATGTGCACACAAATGCAGTTTCGACAGATATCGCGGCTCGCGCACAGAGAAACGTACCCCGCTACCCTCGCCGGGATGTCTTCGTGCAGAGGAAAACGAGAGGCGCGCGTAAGGAAAACTTCCTCCCTTCAGCAACTTGGATTTACTGCCGGTTCAAAAAGACACGGAATGAAATATCGCCCGCGCGAGACACTCTCGTCATACTTAATATTCGATCTCACGTACCAATTACGACATTCCGTTGCAAACAGCGTTGCAACTGATTATTCCTTTCTCCGGGAACAGCGATTCCGTCGATTTCTCCCTGGTCTGTTTGGCTCCATAAAAAGCGTGAATAGCGGGCGAGGTAATTCGCGAGGTAATTAGCGTATGGTCATTCGACGCCGTTCTTATGTTCTTCTTAAAAGTGTAAAGGAAAATTACGTCGTAACTATCGTGCGTTGTATTTGACACTTATGAAGGCACTTTGTTGAACTGAAATTCACTTCGTTTTTCATTCGAAACGTTTTTTATTGAAATATATCACACTGCTGAGTACTTGGAGAGGTGAGTTTTCGGATTTTCCGCTCGGGACTCTTCGGCCGCTTTGTGTGTCTTCCACGCGAGGACACACTAATTGCACGCTCTCTTCTAATTAATTAACGCCGGTGTGGCGCGTGGGAAACCGGGCGGAGTCCTCCTTCGTCTTCGCGCGGATCTGTGCAGAATAGAAGAGTCGGTAGACGCATTGATGCACCGAGAGAAAAATACTTGAAAATTTATTTGTGAGGTACAAAGTTTATGTTTGCGAAACAAAGTTGATTATTTCTGTAAAATGTAACATTTATTTCTGCAAGCAAAGTTTACATATACTACAAAAATTAATAAATTTTTTAAACATTTCTTCTTTCAATGTACACGAAAAAAAAAAATTAACGAAGAAAATAATTTCATTAGTGTAATTGAATTTTCTGTTGTCAGAAAATTTGTGATAGGAACAGAGGCCAGATGAAAAACTCGATTGTTATACACTGAGAAAAAATGCTTTAAATTTATTTATGGGATATAAAATTTATTTCTGTGAAATGAAATTTATATACGGTGTGATGAAAAAAAAAGGATAAAATATTTTAAGGGGATGTTGAGTATGTCCCAAAATAAGTAAAAAAGTCTTAATAAACATGGGTCCGCAAATAAGCCGTTTCTGAAATATCTGTTCTGATTTTATTTGTCGCTAACTTAATTTATTTTATGATATATGTCACAAAAAATAAAAGTTCTTCTTGCGTATGTTCCAAAAGTTGTATCAAATTTTGCAGAAAATGAAATTGTCATCGTATAAAGCGCTGAAATATTGCATGAATATTTCTTCTTGGAGCAATTACTCCGGCAAATATAGATAGATCTCCCAATTTGAACCCGCTGAATTTTTTGTTTGGGGCTATTTAAAGAATCTGGTGTATGCAGAGTTAATCAATAACTTGGGATAATTATAACGTCGCATACAAGAAGCCTACATAACAGTCAGGATGAGCCCAGGTGTGTTTGAAAGAACACGAAATCCCTTCTTGTGCAGATGCAGGGCCTGCATAGATATGAAAGAAGGTAATTTTGAGCATTTTCTTTAATAAGGTAAGATAAAACATCTGCTGTGTAATTTTTTGCACAAATTATAATAGAAATTAACTTTAATTTAATAAAAATAAACTTGAAGTAGTTAAACAAAAAATGATAATATTTAAAAACGGTTCATTTGCAGATCCATGTTTATTATAACTTTTTTACTTTTTACTTTACTACTATTTTGGGTTATATACTAAATCTCCTTAAAATATTTCATCCTTTTCTCAATACCCTACATATTTCTGTGAAATATACAATTTATTTTTGTAAACAAAGTTTATATCCCACAAATAAATTTTCAAATATTTCTTTTCTCAATGTGCATGAAAAGAAAATAACAGAGCAAATAATTTCCTAATCGAATTTACCGTTGGTAGGAATAGTGACCAGATGAAAAACTGTTGTATACTGAGAAAAAATATTTGGAATTTAGTTGTGGGATATAAAGTTTATTTCTATGAAATGAGAGGTTTATATATATATATATTTTTTTTGAAAAATATAAAATTTATTTCTGCACACAAAGTTTATATTTCACAAATAAGTTTTCAAGCATATTTTTCCTAGTGTGTACAAAAAATAATTCAGTGTAATTGAATTTTTCGTTGTCTGGCATGATAGAGGCCAGAGAAAAAATTTGGTTGTTGTACACTGAAAATACTTGACATACTTGAGTATTTGAAAATTGATTTGGGGGATACACAAAAGTTTATTTCTGTTAAATAAAATTAATTTCTACGAAATAAATTTACGTTGCACAAATAAATTTTGAAATATATTTCTTTCTCAATATAGGAACAAAAAGATTGCTCTAGAAAGTTTCTATTCAGTGAATTGTTTTCAATGATTGTAACCAAGTTTTAATATAGCTGAATGTTTAGACAAATGTCGTTTGCTGTAAGAGAGATATCATCTCACGTCGTCGACGTTTCATCTGGCTCTCGACCAGTTGCAAGAACTGACATTTTTTCTGTTTACGTGACGCGACAGTTCTTATACGGCCGGGAAGTGAGTCAAGCTTTGTCTGTTATTCTTACGTCATGATGCAACGCGAACGACTTATAATAACAAATGAGAGCAATTTCCGCGTTGTTAATGACACATACGGTATAATCGTTCTAATAATCCGATAATTCTCGTGAAAGGCTTCTCTTTATTCGCGAGCGCGCTTGTAACGCGAGCAATGGGCTGAAACCTGAAATGCGAGCCGTAAACGTGCGTGTTAAGCTGCGAGCAGATACGAGACGCAACCTGCTCCTCCTCCTCCCCCTCCTGTCCCTCGCCTCCAGTGTCGGAGGACAGGCGATTAATTCGCTGCTGCTTGCGCGATGAAAAGCGCCCATCGTGCGAAACAGCAGAACTTTTCATGGGCGAATAATAATTGAATTCCTTCTCAAAAGACCGTAAAGGTTTGATGTTCTTTCGAGGGGGATAGATATTCCGTTCACTTTGTTACGCCTCCGGTATATCGGCAGGGCAACGCGACGGGGACGACCGGAGAGGTTTCGTTTGATTAAAAATTGTTCTCTCTCATGATATCGAACGTGAATACGTCTTTTTGTCTATTCGCCGTCTAAAGCGTGCTCGCTTTAATCTCACGTCGCAGTTGCGTTGGCGCGTTACGTTTCGGGTGGACGTGCAAGACGGACGGGACGGTTAATTAACATCGCAAACTGCGCGCGGGCGATAAAAAGCGGTAGACAAATGAACAGATCGTCGAATTCTGTTAATTAAGCTTTAATAATCTACGCTGCCTTCGGCGCTTTAATTAGGCGACCGCCGAAACAGGAGGAGGAGAATGACGAGCGAAGTAAAATAAATTGTAACTTTGCTTAAGCAGAGAAAGACAGAGGAAAAGAGAAGGAGAGAATGGGGAGGAGGAGGGAATATATATATATATATATATATATATATATATATATATATGCGTAAAAATAGATTACGATGACGGGATCAATGACATTATGTGACGCACGATATGTCAGCTGCTTCTGTTGTTTTACCAAGAGCGGCGAAGCGGGGATGAGAAACAGACACATTTGTTATTTTATCCCTATTTAGTAGATTTACTTTATATAAATACGACAGAATCGCGTGTGTATTTATATGAACGCTTATCGATCACATTCAATATTCAGGCGAGTTAATATTGTAGGCGAATGTGTAACTGAACCATTTAATCCCAATTGGCAATAATGAATGATTGCATCAAGCCGGAAGGCGGTTAATAGAGCGCACACGGGGAATTAAATAGTTAACGATTAATTTTCTACTACAATTACTCCCGTCCGGTTATCTCTGACAGAATCGTGATTAAAGATTGAACGTGCGCGACGTTCGTTCATTACGATTACGAATAAATTAAGCAAGTGACGATGCTGCAATCTCCGGGCGTTTGGCCGTCCAGAAGAATTCAGGTCGAAATCATGTCGAAATCGAGTCCGAATCATGTGGAAATCAGCAATCGATTTGACATTTCCAAGACATCATTACGGTGTCTGGAAGATATTATGTAGATGTCGACGACCTAGAGGTTATTCGTCTTGTATCGTCTTAGATAAAGTCGATTCATCAATATATCGACTCGAGTTGAATATAATATCGTCAATAATCTGTCGATATCTATACAGTATCTTTTAGATATCATATATAAATAAATTAGATATCACAATAATAGATCAATTATGTCAATTATACATTGACATAATATTGACAAAATATATGATACGGATCTGTCGTCCATGCAGCGTTGATCTTCCTCTGTATATCTCCCTAGCGACATGACGTAGGGTGCTGACACGACGTTGTCATATTTATTATCGAATTCTTATACAATAAAACTATGAAAATAAAGCTGCAGACAATCAACTAGGTATTCATGATATGCTGAAGTGTCGCAACATACTTTCAATAAGTTTCCCCACGTATTTTATATCCGATAGAAAAATCTCTCTCTTGAGAATTATTAAAAACACAAATCCTCTCAGCTGCATCTCGAAATGTATCGCGAAAAAGAATGTTGCAATCTTTTAGTCCCTGATTATACACTAACTACACACAATAAAAAGAAATAATATCAGCTAAATTTCAGTATTTAGTTCGAATTAAGCTAAAAAAGGCTAACCATTTTCCTATCATTATAAAAATTGGCTATTAAACATATAGAGTTATTAACTAAAATAAAAAGTACGTTTTAGCATGATTTTAACTAAAAAAATGGCAGCTCATCCTAAATTTCTCACACACTTTTGAGTTTTTGACTCTATAAAAAATTAACCTAGTAGAATTCGTCCTATTATGTTTTCCACACACAATTTTTTGTGTTGTTAATTGATAAATACTATATATAAGAAATTTTCTATAAGAAGTTATAACTCTCTCTATTAGGTATAACTTAATTAAAAATGGAATTAATCGTTTTTTCATAATCATAATGAAATAAACAATAAAACTACGGAAAATATAATTTTTCATTTGAATAATTTGTTTTTTATATACAATGTCAAATTATATCATTGAAAAATTATATATTAGTGTATTAGTTATAACATACATAGTTAATAGAAGAATTGGTATAGTGTATAAGATGCCTAGTTCGAAGTTCACACAATCTAGAAGACTCGGGTTTTGAATTTCATCATTGATAAGAACTTTTTTCAAATACGATATAACATTGAATCACTTAAATGGGTAATAATTAGAAAGATTTCGCCACATTAATTGTCTCTATTTAATTTCTCAGTTGCCACAGCTATGTATTAACTTCTTTGTTTAGTTATTTTTCTACGTGTAGAACTAACGAGATGCAATGGCACGCAGTTATAATATCAACTAGGTATTGATTAAATTATATCGATAAAATATGAATCTATGTCGTTTATGTAGCACTGATCTTCCTTTGTATATTTTGTTTGAAAAATCACTGTTGATATCAATTTCGTCATGATTTGACAATCGTCATGATTCACATCTTCTACACTAATTTATAGGATCAACTTCTGGGTGTTGGACACTTGGTTGTATGCCACTTGATTGTTATGCCACTTCCTCGTAAGATATTTGGTCGTAGATACGCACCTCTTTATTGGGCATTTT